CCCCCCCTACAAATCTACTTAAAAAACCCAGCTGTTTTCGTCAGGCAGGATTGAATGATCTGATAAAGGTTTATCAGAACGTTGGGTTTCAAGAGCGAAGCTTAAAACCCCCCCACATGTATTTAAACATGGTGTGAAGATAGTTTTGTCATAGCGAGGAACAGGAACTGCTACAGTAGTTTGGAACAGACAAGGACTTTGTCTTCCGTCACGTCGTATCTGGTTTGTGACGTGCGCTGTGTGTGTGTGTGTGTGTGTGTGTGTGTGTGTGTGTGTGTGTGTGTGTGTGTGTGTGTGTGTGTGTATGTGTGTGTCTACGACCCGAGTCAGTGGAGACTTTTGTGAGACAGTTCAAAGTGTAGTCTGAAGTGTGTGCTACACCATATAATGGACATTCATTTGGGCCCGTTCCCATTGGTTACTCGGTTCTGCTTAAAGAAGGTTACAGGCACATAAAACTACATGTAGTGCTGGATTGACTTGAATACAGGGAGCACAACTAAAAGATTTGTATTGATCTGAAAATAGTCAACTTCTTACTTAACCAGCAGGATGTCTACACAAAATATCCATGGTCTCGCTGTCTGTGCGATAGTCTGTCCGTCTAGATGTGGATGTTGTCGCTGCTCTATGCTCCGTGCTTCACAACAAAGCGTGGCCCAGTTACAACCACAAAAGTTCACACACACACACTTTGGCCAATCACTTCCCAAACAGCCGTTATGATTACTTCGTTCTTTCGTTCTTTCAAACTGCGCGTATTCCGAAGTATTCTTTTTTCTCCTCGCACGTGCACTTTGTCTTCTTAAACGGTACATCTTTGATCAGTGCCGCTTATTGAGGCGTGGTGAACGCTTTTGTCGGGGCGTTGTTTTGATCTAGTGAACCGTGGTGAACGATTGTCTTTGGTGGCTATATTAGTGAACGCTTGTCTTTGGTGGCTGCATTAGTGAGCAGAAGCTAAGTAAACCCTTGCCTTTGGAGGCTATAATATTAGTGAGTAGAAGCGAATTGAACAGTTGTCTTTGGTGGCTATATTAGTGAGTAGAAGCTTAGTGAACGCTTGTCTTTGGTGGCTATATTAGTGAACGCTTGTCTTTGGTGGCTATATTTAGTGAACGCTTGTCTTTGGTGGCTATATTTAGTGAACGCTTGTCTTTGGTGGCTATATTTAGTGAACGCTTGTCTTTGGTGGCTATATTTAGCGAACGCTTGTCTTTGGTGGCTATATTTAGCGAACGCTTGTCTTTGGTGGCTATATTTAGTGAACGCTTGTCTTTTTACGCTATAATATTAGTGAGTACGGGCGAAGTGAACCATTGTGTCTGGACGTCATATCGTTGAGCCACGCATTGTGTTTGAACGCTTTATTAGTGAGTAAAAGTTTTTTTATTTCTAAATACATATCTTTTTACGCCCCCATCAACACACTTGAGATCCTTTAGGAAGTGTCAGAACCAGGCCGGGCTGGGAGGTAAGAGGGATACAACATACAAGCAGAAAGACCGAGATACCCCATCATAAAAAATCTCCCCGCTCGAGATCAGGACTCGAATTCGGGTCTCCTGCATGCGACAGCGAAGTGCCTAACCGCTACACCACTGGCGCGTCCTGTCACACCCAACTGTGCACGATCTCTATCCGTGAGTGGAGGTGAAGTGAGGACTGGAGTTTGAGCAGCAATATGGTCGTCTTTAGCACAAGGGGGCTATCCCGAAAAATGCTGTTTTGAGAAATAAATGGAAGGTAAAGTTTTTGCCCCGTGTTCAGTTTCTTTGTGGACAGTTTTCTCTATAACCAAACAAATATACACAATAGTAAAACCAAACTTCTCCTATAGGTAGGGTAATGCCCACTCTTGGTGTAGGTCAAGATTTCTGGAAACCCTCGAAATCTGTGTTAGCCCGCTTGTCCTTAAAAGCGACCATTTGTTTGGTTATAGAGAAAACTCTCCTTGTCTTTTAAAGAAACTGAACAAGGGGCAAAAACTTTCCCTTCGATTTTCTCAAAACAGCATTTCGGATAGCCCCCCCTGTGCTTAAAAGCGACCATTGTATATAATATACTATTACTGAGGTGTTTGATTTCTCTCTCCACTGGACGGAGTCACGTGTGACGGTGTGGTGTGGCAGGATCTAGGACTGACAGTCGCTCAATCACACGTGCTTACTGCTTGCTGTCCAGGGGAGACCACTGTGTGAGGGTGAGTGGGGGTGTTTGAGCTTTGTGGGGTTGTCAACTGAGTGGGGGTGGGGTGGGGTGTGTGTATGTGTGTATATGTGTGTGTGTGTGTGTGTGTGTGTGTGTTTCTGTGTATGTGTGTATGTGTATGTGTGTGTGTGTGTATGTGTGTGTGTGTGTG